TTTTTTGTTATACGAAATATCGATGAAATTAATTTTCTTTTCCAATTCATGTAATCGGATGATGGACGATGTTCTCTCGTGGTCTCAACCTCGTGAAAATTCTGGAATATAGCAGCTAAGGATCAGATTAATAATCCTCTCGATATCTCGAAATTACAGCAGTCAGTCGAGGAAGAATATCGATATTCGAATCCGTTAAACTCTGATTATGCGTTTATCGTTCTGATTATCGAGCGACACAATACTCTTATAAATCGACACGGCCTTGATACGTGTATCTCGCGTATACACGTATCGGGGAACGATACAATACGATAAATAGGTGAGAATTTAATAAAACGATTCGACGCGTCGAATCGAATCTCAAAGATGTTCGATCGTAAAATGCTCGAATCGTAATCGAGTCGCAACAACGAGGACGAAATTAATTCGGAAAAACGAGAGTTGCAAGACTGCAATGCGGCTACGTGAAAATGCATCGCGTGCAGCAACCTCGCCTCGTTGCTAAAAAATCCTCGACCACAGCCGTAACGTTTAACGTTTAAAGGATACGAAAGCAACGAGTTCAATAGTGGTCAGTCTTACTCCGTACTTTCAACCGTGGTCGATTTCGAGGAGAAATTGAAACGGTATAATAAGTTCTCCTTACGATACATACAAGTTCGTGGGTTGAATCGTTTTTAACCTTAAACAGATAAATAGTTTAAAACAGAGCGAATAAGAAATAACATATATACGTATATATTCGTTTTAAGCGAAAATAGAATTCGCACGTTGCATTTAAAATAAAATAGAAATATTTTACGATTTAAGGAAGGGAATGTCCAAGTGCTAGCTCGATCCGGAGAAGATGCGCAGTTTTGCTATCGTAACGTTGTTACGGCGCCATTCGTGAAATAAAAGAAGTGTCAGATTCTACGACCATTAATGGACAGCTCGTGTTCGCTCGTTAACAAATCTTGTCGGTATACATCTTTTGTGGTCTCCGCCGTAACGACTCTTCCTCTCCGTCTTCCTTCGGTGGATGCCCGTGGATTTTTATTCCCGCCAACGAATCGCAAAAAGGATCCGCGCCAACGGCTCGACCAATCATTCGATCCCACGATATGCGAATCTGTCGTAAAAATGTTCTTCTCCCGTGAGCCGTGAAGGAGTCGCGATGTCTTTAACGATTCTGCGTTCTGGTCGTCGAACTGAGAACAACCCCTCGCGAATTCCTATCCTCTAACCCTCCCTCCATGCCCTTCTCCCCTTTTATTCTTTCTCGAACACCGAGAATCGATTATACGATCCTGATATTCCGATCTTCTTATCTAGACTTCATCAGGAGTTACGAGGAAATTATTTTCTACAATAATATCGTTATTCGCGGAATATAAGAGAGGAATACACATGTAAGAGAAGAAATATAAATATTCAAATATCGGAGCGTGAAAGCACGATTCCTGAATTTTATTTTCATCGAATTGATTTATAATATATTTTTCCAGGTAAAAACGTTTGAAATTTCGAACTTTGAACTTCTCTTTGTGAGCTGTTGTTTTTTTACCAAGAAAAAAAGAGAAAAAAAAAGAGAGGAATTTTATCGATAAACGTATAGCTAAGTCATAATTTACGAGTTGTTTCGAGGAAAGAAAAAAGTTCGATGTATAATATAATACGAAGGTATGTAAAATTATTGGTGGATTGCAGGTGGTGATGTGCGGGGCGGTGCCGGCAATGGTGCGCTCCGTGAGTCTCTACTCGACTTGCAGCAGCGGCAATGTTACCGTGATGGGCCGTTTGATCAAGGCCGTGGAACGCACCGATCACAATGCCCCTTACCGTAAGTAAAATTGCATTAATCGGATTAACACCGTTGCTCCCTTTCGTTTTTACATCCGTTTTAAATCCCTTCCCCACGAATCACGAACCCACGAGATTCTAACCGAATAAGACAGCAGAACGTACGTTATTACGTATTTAAGAAAATACGCGATAATAAATAATAGGATAATAATGGCGAAAGGTAAATGGTGGAAAGTTTATCAATAGATAATAGGTCGAGTTTATCGTCGACTATTCGAAACGAGGGCAACCGCGCGACATCGGCATTTAAACGGCTTTCGAATAAATTCATCGTCGCAACGTGTGCGGTCATCGTAGAGAATAGGTCGATCTGTTAATTGAATCGAATCGAGTAGTCCGGCCTCCGACACCAGGAGGCGCTCGACCGTGACATTATCTCTTCCGATCGATAGTAAAGACTGAAAAGGATTCCGAACGGGGAGAATCGGTGTAGATACTCTTTCGAACGAATAAACGTCCAAAGCTGGGCCACTAAACATCTCAATTTATAGCGATGCTTATCGATCGACCTAGGGTCAGGGGGACTTATCTCTCCGCCCGCTTTCGCTACCAACCGCTACCACCCTGGGCCCCGCTCGAACTTTTATCTTCCTCGATTAATAACCCGCCCTCCCTCTATTTCCGCGGGAGATAGCCGTCTGAAGAAACCAGAAGTAAAAAGAGAGAAAAAATAAAAAAAGAAAAAGCGATCGCGTTGTCTCGCTTCGTCGCGATTGTTTTCGACTAGACGCCATTTATCTCGCTATTGCCTCTTGTCCGGACCAACTCGTACTTTCTTGCTTATTTACGAGGATCCGAGTTCGTGGTCGTTCCCGTATCGAAATCGAGTTTAAGATATCGACGGGAGAGGAAACTCGATAACGCTCTAATAACGCTCTTAATGTTTTCCCGCGAGGAGAATCGATCGAAAAGTGGGAAGAAGTAATTTCACGACAATTTGTTTCGAAAATGTTATCGTTTCCGTCTCTGAACCTGATATAAAAAATTCGTAATGGCGATCTAGATGAAGTCAAATTATTATTCTTAAGTAATAATTTTTGTCGAGAATACGCACGGTGGAATAACAATGGAATGCGCGGTTTTAAAATTTATGAAACGTGAAAATAGGCGAAACGTAGAAGAATAGTTGAATTTATTATTCAATTATTCACTTGTTTACCGAGATTTGTTGCATTCGCAGCAATACAATCACGGTGCGGAGATCCTTGGAATATATTAAATTCGCATATATTAAATTCGCCTTTCAACCGTGCCGTATATGTAATCTCCGTTTTTCCAATAGCGATTTCGCGTAAACTTGAAATTCCGTAAAAAGGAACGGCCGTAACGGGGAGAGGAGTAGGAAGAAGCTGTCCGCCCTAACCGTGGCGTGAGCGCGAGGCGGCTCCTTTTCTGACTTTCACGGACGAGGTAGGGGAGAAAAGGAAGGTCTAAAAGGAGGGAAGAAGGCTTGTGCAAACAGAGGAGCCAGTTTTCGCGCCGCACGCTGCGCCGCGTCTGCACCTCCCCGAGATCCATCACCTTGGTCCACCTCTTCCACCTCTTTCATCGGTTGGTGGCACCGGTGCTGTTGCTGCCGTTGCTGCCTCCACTTTTTCCTTCCGTTACTCTCCTCTCTCTCTCTCTTTCTCGTGGCGATTACTCAAGCTCCATTCGCGAAATGAACCGACTTGACTCGCGCTGCACCAACCTTTCAGACACCGTGAGAGCGTCCTTCAGCTTTTCGACTCTTAACTGCCGACCGGGCTACGAAGCGGCTTCGTGAATTCCTGCTCGGTGTCGGTGTCGGTGTGGATTCCAAAGATAATTAACTTGCCGCGGTTTAAAAATTAAAAATTGTTCCCATACTTTCCGCGTTAAAATTAGTTATCTCGAGTTTCACGATCTTCGAATTATCGCGTATTTTCATAATTCCATCGAGAAAGGTAGATTTTTACGCGTGTAATTCGTGCGCACGTCGAGTTCGAGAACAAGGGTTATTGGAGAACGAGACGAACAATAATAATTACCCTTTCGTTATCGTCCGATTGGAAAGCAGAGAGTGGCATTCGTCGAAGCGGATAATAATTACATCGATCCCCGTGACATTTTTATCACGTTAAATGAACGTAATCGGCCTACGAGGAACTTCAATCTTCTTAAATGACTGGTAGCATCTCGAACGATCGCGATATCGTACGCGATATCTCATCGCGTCTGAAAGAACGAAGAGAGAAAGAGAGAGAGAGAGAGAGAGAGAGAAATAAAAAAAGATTCGGGTTGGAATTTAATTATTGTTGTGGGCACGAAGAGAGGCACGATTATCGCGTCAGTGGAGCAAATCAGGGGCTTCACCTGTCACAGTTTCGACCGGCCAGATGGGAGACAACCGGTATAGGTTATGTATTCTTCTCATTTGCGCGGCGTTGTAATCTGGTGCGCGTTCACGCCGGATGCTTCTCACCGCGGAGGGCGATCCACCGTGCGTTGGCCAATCGTGCGTTTAGGTGTTAACGACGGGATCGCTATTATACGCGCCAGCTTTATAACGAGAACCGCGGTTATACACCGTTTTTTTCCTTCTTTTCTTGCGCGGTCGGTACCGGCCTACTCGCTTTCGCGTCATATTATAGCTTTCATAACGCCGACGCCGCGTAATTGTGGCGCTCCAGTGGTTCTCAACCGGCTGGTTATTCGCCTCGCGAAAAAATACGAAAATTTTCTACGCATCCACGATCGTACATTTCTTCGATCCGATCGTCATACCCGTTTCTTCGAATCCGTTAAATAAAAGAAAGAAACATCTTCTCGACTCGTTTTTAATTTAAAACTCGGCGAAACGATGGCGATGGCGATGGTGGATTCCTTCGCGACAAATCGACGATATCTTGGACGAGGTATTTCGGTCCTTGTAGAGAGCGAACGAGCGAGAGAGCGAGCGAGAGAGAGAGAGAGAGAGAGAGAAAAGAAGCTATTAGTTGCGAACCTATAACGAACGGAGAATCGGTTCCTGTATCGCGACGAGCACGTAGAAGTAATATATGGGATCCATTCTTCTTTCCTTCTGTCTCGCTCTTTCCCACTTATGCGCTGGCCCATCCTACCAGTTATTATCGGGGGTAATCGTGCCTAAAAGCCGGTGCCCGCTTTTGATTAAAATTGGCTTTTAATTCATTTGGCAGCCTCTAATCTCGTGGCGGCTCCGATCAGAGGAAACAGCGGCGAGGGAGAGGGGGAGAAGCTCGGGGAACGGAAGACAGAGGGTTCGAAGCGAAACGATTCATCCCTCTGCTCCTTCGCCTTCGCCAACGATACCACGTTGCATTTTTATCCAAGATTGCCCGATCGACGCTGTCCTTAATTTCAGATTCAAAATCCTGTAGAAAGAGAATCGACGACAGATTCCCTCCCCCCCTTCCTAGAAACTGTACCGTTCGAGTGTCACGGGCTCGAGAAACTTAGTGGAGACGCCTGTCTCCGACGACGAGCGATCGTACGTCTACCAAGTTTAGCAAGTAACGCTCCGTCACTCCAGCAACCGCTTACTATTGCAACGATCTCGCTCGCTTCTCTTTTACTCGATAACGATAAGGAATCGTTTCGAAAGGAACCACGTCCAAGTTTCGTCGCGATTGCTTCCACGACGACTGCTAGGTATCGGAAGTATAGGAGTTTGATAATGGCTAACTGGAACGAGCAAACAAGCGTACGTACGTAGCGTGTTGGGAGTAGTCGGTGGTATTAGTGTCAGGTTGTTATCGTCGTACTTTTCTCCGCCGCTACCAGGTAGGTATATGTATATATATATATATATACATATATGTGTGTGTGTGTGTGTCGCGTGTTTCATATTGGAAAGCGGACGTCGCGAAACGGAAGAGGGGAAAATTTTACCGATAGTTTCCAACTTGTTTGCCATACTCGCGACTCAAGTTTATCGTTGATAATGCCCATTATATTTCCGTATTCCCGCATTTCGGCCAACCTATTTTTAACCGGCGATTCGGGCAATTCCCGATTTCGATGGCGGCTTAAACGATACTTAATACATTTTCGTGAAGTTTTTATCAAGTTGGAAAAGAAAACAACGATATTCAACGGTTTTATTACGGGCTATCGATAAAAATATTTCGATACGTTTACGACCAATTGCCAACGAATCGGGTCGATTTTTTTCAAACCGTTTATTACAGATATTAAATTTTTTCCCTCCTCCTCCTCCTCCTCCTCCTCCTCCTCGGATAGAATGAATTCGCGTTCGATTCGATCGGTAGCGCGAACCTCGGCCGAAACGTGACGAATAAAATGCGCGCGATTTCGTTAATCCTTTTCAGAAAAGGATGAGGGAAGGATTTTTTTGCGCATCCAGATAAGATACGACGTTTAACGATCGAGGAACGAAAAGAACAAATTGACCGAGGCGGCCTCGAGAGGGATGTCGCTGCGGACGGATGGGCCGGAAAGGTGAATTCGATTAATTAAGAAAAGTGGGAGGATTAATTGGCCTGGGGAATATATAGACTACCGTTGGGGGGGGAACGCAGATTAAGTCCTCTTGCGCTTTTTCTGGTTTCCGAAGACCGGTAGAAGGCGGTGAGAGAAAACGAAACGTAAAAAGGAAGGGAGAAGGGCAGGGGAGGGGGAGAGGGAGTTTACGAGGCAGTTCGGGGACATTCTTGATTTCGATGTTGGGAAGGCACCCGACGAGAACCACTTGAATTTAACGAGGCTCCAGCAAATGGGCCACCCTGCAGACTTTCCTCCTTCCTTTTCTCCACGTATCGCGCTTACCTACCCATTCTCTCTGTGGCCCGTGAACAAAGAAGAAAAACTCATAATCGTGACGTCATCGTTCTACACGGCCAAACGTCTCCATCTTATTAAAGAAACCCCATCTCGTGAGCGAAAATTTACCAGTTCTTTTTTTCTTTTCTTCGAGGGAAGTGAATTTAGTGACGGTATTGCTATTCCAGAGATAAATGGAACCCTTCCCTCCAATTACAAAATTCCTTTTAATTTTCAAAAAACCGGGTGTGCTTTCTTCTTCCTTCGAGAGGACAACTCTCTCGGCTGCTTTCTCGTACATTAAATAGAAAATAAAGCGAAGTATATATAAGAAGAGGATGGATAGAACGAATTGGTTGGGAATAGAATTGCGCTGAGTTTGGTGCACCTGTAAAACGCCGGCCCTTCCCCTTTCCCCGTTGCTTATCCGGAACAAAGGACGCGTACTTCTCGGTCGGCAGAATTTCGTAATAGGTGGTGCGAAAGAAAAAGGGAGAGAGACACGGCGTTGCACAGCGAGCGTAGCGCAACGTGTATACGGTTCGGGGTCGAGGCACGACAGGACCCGCTAAGTGGCAAAGTACACACCGGTCGGTCTGTGCCTCCTTCATTAGCACCAACTAGCCTCGGCGGCAGGCTTAGCCAACCTTTTCTTCCTTTCTTCCAGCGCCGAACGCACTGGCTGGAAGAGGACCCCCCCCCCCCCCCTCCCTCCCTCTCTCTCTCTCTCTCTCTCTCTCTCCCCGAGCATCGATGTAGGTACAACTCGCGCTATAAACCTCGAGAGGAGATCTCTTCTCGGAAATATGCCAGCTCGCATACCGAACGCACACAACCGCCGCGTTACCTCCTCCACTACCCTGCGGTTTTCTCCTCGATAACCGATACCTCATTTTATAAAGTTTCTTTTAGTTTATACTATTCTCGCCTCTTTTCCATTTCCTTTTTTTCATTGTCGAAAAATTTCAAAAAAAAAAAAAAAAAAAAAAAAAAGTAATCGTCGTTTCACTCGTTTAATCGAACGGTCTTTTTTTTTATGTTTGATGTTGCAGAAAAACTTACGACCCAGTCCGAGGACTTCAGTAAAATGTTGTACATCTTCGCCGAGAAGAGCCAGCGATACATCTGCTTCAACAAGAAATGGAAACTCGTCGGCCTGGTAATTACACTTGCCCGCCAATTAGTAGACATATTTCATTATCGCGCGCTGCCGAGTAAATTTATACGGATCGTACGGTTACGGGGCGTTTTATATGTGTATATATATATATATATATATATATATATATCCGTTGTACATTAGAGAACATCCTCGTTAAAAGTATAATTTGCGAGCGAAGATTATTAAATTGTCGGCGGTGATTCGAATGCCCTCTACTCTGTTGCGCTATCTAATCGGATAGTTCCATCGCGTTGTTCCATTTTTACTTTTTTTTTTTTTTTTTTTCTTTACACGGTGGTGTACGGAGGAGAGGAGGAGAGGTATCTTTCTATATCTTTTTGTTCGCAGCTTAAGAAGCAAAAGGGTTATTGTCAGTTCTACGAGGAGTACAACGGCTCGTATCTGACGTACAGAAACGTGAATAATTCGCGGTATCTCGGGTTCAACAAGTCCGGGTACCCGATCAAGAATCGCGGCCGGCAGGAGTGCTTCAATTTCATCAAGTACAATCCCCACGCGGACATAAATCACCACAACAGCCTGGTGAACGCGGACATGGGCGGCATGGGGCCGAGGGATCCGTACGTTGTGTCGAGGAAACCGTCGCCGGCGAGGGACACGAAGAACTCCCTGTTGCAGGCGGACAGCACGAGGGAGACGATCCACACGACGCATCATTATCGGCACTCGAATCGTTGGAAGATGCGCCAAGGCGAGAAGATGTCCGCACCGCGAAGATGGCACGAGAGCCGTCTCTTCGAGGCCAACAAGTATTGAGCCGCGCACTGGCTCGCCGATCAAGACTGCCTCATCTACATCTGTGAGAACCTGAGATCAGACTGCCGAATACGCTGGTGGAACGTACGGTCGAGATGTCAGGGACCCACTAACGCGGCACCACGTGAAACGCGGCTCGAAGCACGCGCCTCGATTGATCGCAACGAACAAAAGCTGGCTGGCTCGCCTCGTGTCTCCTGCTCGCTTGGGTACACGCATACACACGCACACACACACACACACATACACATGTACATGCACAGATACGTATACACAAAAATACCCGCACACGCATACACGGATACACACACGACCAACCGCATCTCGCTATACGGACGACAAGCAACAACGAAAATTCTACGTTCGCTCGAGAACGCAGAAACGGAGCCGAGTACCGAGTTGCAGGAAGACAGTCTTGTTGGCTAGAGCTTTCGTTACGCGTCGTTAAATTCCATTTCACACTTGCCCCCGACTGAATCCTTTCAGGCAAGTATGCATACGATATATATCCATAATTTCCCTTTCGTTCCATCGCTAAATTTTTGATACTATTAGTTGGAGGGTGGTCGATTAACGAACTTACCCGTACTACTCGTTTCTTATTTCATTATTTCACCGATTATCTCTCTCGATCGTTCTCGTTGTCTCGTTTCCAGAAAAAAGAAAAAAGAAAAAAGAAAAAAAAGAAAAAAAAATCCAAGAATATTAGCTCCCCCCCGTACGTACGAAATAAAGTGAAATAAAATAGAAAAAAAAAAAAAAAAAAAAAAANAAAAGAAAAAAAAAAGAAGAGGAGAAAGTAAGAAGTAGGGAAAATATTTCGTGAGAATTCGCGTATTCGTTTAGGGGATCCAGTTTAGGGGATCGATTTTAGCGATGGAAGAATATTAAGTACGTTTGTTGCGCGCGATCGGCCTAAATCGTTGCGCAATCGGACAGCTATCGTGCTTCAAGCGCTGTCACAGATGACCGCGGATTCACGCGCGGAGAGATGCACGAACCAAAGTATTTCGCGCATTTCCCCCATGGAAATATTCCCTTTTATTCTCAAAAGTTGATCTCGAAGTTGAGCAAATTCATCGCGCGTTAATCGGACTCGATCGAAAACAGAGAGAGAGGGAGAGAGAGAGAGAGAGAGTTGATTTAGTCGTATATAGATATCGATGAACAGAATTTAGTTATTAGCAGCTATAGTTATTCATCACACTTTCGAAAGAAAAGAAGAAAGGAAGGAAGGAAATATTTCCGGGGATTAGGGGAGCGCTGAGAAGGTGTAACTCTCCGGCGTGGTCGCGCAGTAGAGCTCACGCTGCGCAAGACTCTCTCGCTCGCTGTGCTAATTACGCCGCCTAATGTAGCGTGCGTGCGTGCATGCGTGCCTGCCTGCCTGCCTGCGTGTATGATAATATTATGTGTGCGTGCGTGCGTGCGTGCGTGCGTGCGTGCCTGCCTGCTCGCGACGTACACGCAGTTCTCACCGTGTCACGTTCATGTCGAAGCTCCGCCACGCGGTCGAAATCTTCGAATCGCTATTTTATCAACGGCTGCTCCATTCGTCTAAGCAATTTTTTACTATTTTATTCTTAATCGATATTATTTATACATATACGTATATAGATATATATTAAAGAAGAGGAGAGAGAGAGAAAGAGAGAGAGAAAGAGAGAGAGAGAGAGAGAGAGAGAGAGAGAGAGAGAGAGAGAGAGAAAGAAGAGAGAGAAAAAAGGAAAAAAATACGCACGTGCGTAAAAGTCGATTACTCCGAACGCACATACATATTACGCAAACGGAATTTATTGAGACAGAGAATCGGTATGCATACGCTATTTCTCAGGAATGCGATAGCGTGTGATATATATATATTTTTCGTAAATTTATTCCGGGACGATGTTTAGACAAACGGACGAATAAATAAAAATAACAGGATCTCTGAATATTTTGTACGACATGTATTTGAAATACGATTCGCTTTCGACGCGATTTTCACTCGCGTCGTGCGGTGTAATTCACACAGAAATCTATATTTTTCGGATATGGAATGAGAGTGAGATATATTATTGAGAGAGTATCGGCTTAAACTGCGTGTTCGTGTACGAGCTTAAAAGTATTTGTGTGCATTTTTTGCGTGCGTACGTATATTTGCCTCTGTGAACGCGTGTGACTGCGTGTAATATATTATAATATATTACGACCGTTAATGAAGTTAATCCTTAGGACGCTACTGCAGACTGTATTACTAGGTTAGGTACACGATATACGACGTGAACGGCGACTCAACGAAAAGGATCAGTGGTACGTTCCTCGGCCTCGCGTATATAATAATTATACACATGTTTCGTGCGAATTTACCTTTCGCACGCGAACACGCGTATTTCCGATCGATGAAATCGCGTACGTCGCGTGCGTGAATAGAAAAGAAAAGAGAAGAAAAGAGAAAAAAAGAGAGAAAAAAAAGGTACCGAGTATCATCACCTGCTGATTCCTTCGTTTTCGCAGATTCGCCACGTAAGGGCCGCTTGCCCCTTTCTCCCTCCCCCCCCCCAAAAAAAAACAACTCGTGCCCTAGGTAGCTTATTTATTGAAATCATGTTTAGATACTACGAAAAACCAAACCGCCCGAGAACACCTTTTCCTCCTATATATGTACGGAAATGTGCGCTGCTCTCTTTATTATTATTTTACTTATTGCCAATTCGTTATCTTTTCGTTTTTTTTTTTTTCATTAATCCTCCTTGATTTTTTTTCTTTTTTTTTTTTTTTTCCTAAATTAATTCTTCTTCCGACGAGACGACGAATTTTACTCGTTGCTCTATTTCCCTAGAAGAATTTCATTTTTCTTCTCCTTTTTCTTCTTCTTCTTCTTCTTCTTCTTCTTCCTCCTCCTGTTTCTTTGATTGAACGTGAAACGCGCGTTTCGAGAAAATTTTCGTTCTTACATTCGATTAAAATTAAATATTTCCATTCATTATTCGCGATAATTCCGTCGTCATTCTCATATAGTATTGTATTTACTTTCCTTCTCACCTTCTCCTCTTTTATCGTTATCGATCCTAAATCCGAAAAATACTCAATACCTGATTAGTTAATTTCGTTTTTCGTACGAGTGGCAGTGCGTAGAGACCCTATTTTCGCCCTGAACGGTGTTTGTACGTGTCGCTAAAAAAAAAAAGAAAAAAGAAAAAAAAAGTAGACGGCAAATTGTTCGTAGAAGCGCCACACGTCCGTCTGATGAATCGCGGATAAACGCGAAAGAGATCATTTCTCTTCGATTCGCGTTCCTTTCAATATTATTATTATTATTATTATTATTATTATTAATATTTTTTTTTTTGACAAGCACTAGGATCATTCCGTTGACGTGCGCTCTGATTTCTAATATCATTTCGTTATTTCGGAAAAAAGGGGGAAAAAAAAAACGATCAAAGTTATTCAGAATAATTAATTTTTTTTTTTTTTTTTTTTTTTTTTTTTTATTTTCGTTTGTCGCAATACTTCGTCTATCGGCGCGTGGCGTATGCAGGCTAAGTACGAATTAAAAAAATTTCGCGCGCGAAACACAAATAAAAAAATGCAAGCAATCGACGATTAGAAGAAAGAAAGAAAGAAAGAAAGAAAGAAAGAAAAAAAAATATCGTATCGTAACAATTAAAAAATTTAACACACTCGTTTCGTGTATGTGTAAACGTAACATCGAGTCGTGAATTGCAGCGACGTTTGCAATAACAGGGAAGCAAAGGGAACACCGAATAATTCGATCGATTTCTTCTATTCTCGACGAGTAGAAGGGGAAAAAAAAAGGGACGAATATCGAGAAAAAGAAAGAAAGAAAGAAAGGAAGAACAAATTAGATAAATAACTCGCAGCGATTCTCGACCTAAGCGTTCCTTAGAATCATCGGTTTGCTCGATGTCAAGTCACTTGGCGTTTAGTTTTTTATATTCAACGAAACACAATTCACATTTTTTCTACGATTCTCATATTCGATATTTCGAAGCGGTACGAGTACACATAGTTGCGTTTAGAGAATTTTACGAGAAGCAATTTTTGAGAAGCAAGTGTGTAGTTGTATTTTTAATAATACGCGATAATAGCACAAAAAAAAAAAAAAAAAAAACATTCGTCGAATTCCCCTGTCGTTGACGCGTGCCTTGACTTCGAGCACGATAAAACGATNAAGGTAAAGTACATATATATATATATATATATATAAATATAAATATATAAATATAAATAAAATATAAATATATACGAAAGATGATGTGTATTGTAAGATATTTAATACCGACTTGTCTTAAGCACACCACACGATGATCGATTGCGATGAAACGACGATAATAATTATTACGATGATTGTTGTATAACGAACGACGACGACGATGATGATGATGATGATAATAATGTTATTCTACATTGTAATTCGCGTTGTAATATAGAGGCCCACCTGTTACCCACTAAATCGATGTGTCGATGTATCCCGGACGTGCTTCGTTCGTACACGCGTCGAGGGAAATCGGGAATTGCGTTTCCATTCGAACGAGGGAGGAACGTTGGACATCGGCCAGTGAGTCAGAACTTTCTGATTTTTCTATGAGAAACATACGAACGAGCCGTTATCTGGTCGATGTCCAACGACCTCTGTCATCCGTGTTAAACGAAATCGTTTACGATTCTCAGTATTAATCGTATCGAGAAATGTTGGGTTCCGTTTGTGAAGCAAGCTCGTTACCTACGAGTGCAGCACGCCCGGAGCAACTAGCAATAATATAACATTCCAACTTAAATCGCATACGTACTGCGAATTCTAATAATGTGTGCCGCCGTACGAGAGAGAAAAAAAACACTGTCAAATACACGCTCATACACTGCTACATCTCGTCGTATTTATTTCCGTTATATAAAAACCTAATCCATTCCAAACTATAACCCTCTGTTCTCAAATTTCATCGATTTATCGTCGATGCAAATTTTTTCGAATTGACGAATTTACGATCGGGATCACGAATTCGGATTGTCGATATTATTCTAAAACAAACGATAGATGATAAAGTCGTTATCACGTATGATTTACGTCAACGAGTTATAACGCAAAGCGAATAAATTTATTACAAAACAATTCCAAAGATTTATCGTCCGGTAATTTGATACTGGTAATTACAAGCAATCCCTTCGATCTCGTTGAACATCCGTGCGAAGAAAGAGAGAAAAGAGAATAAATAAATGATTCGTAACGAGTGATCGCGCAATGTGAATCGAGTAGAAGGAATCGTATAATCGTGACGTAATAAATAAAAGAATCGAAGAGAGATAATAATATATCGTAAACGTAATCAGGGTTTTAAAAAGATTTGATCAAAGAGTATTTTACTCTTTTCTAATGGAAGGGATTTGCGCTGGACTATGGAAGCAAATAATACTTGTATACCCGTCGATGCGCAAATCCGCTCAAATCCACTCGAGACCGAAAGCCAAAATCAAACAATTCGTCGGGGATCGGATCGGGCCGTGGACCGAGTGAGTGAGTGTTTACCGCGATGGTTCGAAAGGTATTACGTTCTTCCATGCGTAGAAAGAAGGGCGGAAGGTGTAGATACAAGACTCACTCCCGCCGCCACTCCAATTTCAACCGTTGATTTCCTTGGGAGGTAAACTCTGAAGGGCTCCTTAAATAATCGTCGAAAGATCCTCTTGCCTACGTATACCTCTCCTCTTTTCTCTCGAACGATATATCGAGGAGAAAGATCGAAACGCGAAGAATGGCCAGTGGAGAAAGGAGACGGGGAATAAGGGAAGGCAAAAAAGGAAAGAAAGAAAGAGAGAAAGAAATAAAGAAGAAGAAGAGAAAAAAAAGGAGTGGGTCCCCCAATTTCGATCCCTCGTAACAGCTCGTTGACACCCCCTTTTCTTACATAGACCGGCCGACTCGAATAAGCACCCCTTCCAACTTCCTTCTTAACGCTCTCGAGTGTTTGATCTAGAAATCACGCGTCTGGGACTCGACCAAGCCGTTAAGTTTTTCACCCCCTTTTTCTCTTCTTCTTCTTCTCCTACCCCTTTTTCTCCTTCTTTCAGTAACCTCGCTTCTCTCCATACCTCTCCCTTCCCTCCTCTTCCTTCCTCCCCCCCCTCCCCAGTCTCGTATATAGATTCACGCGCCACTGGGTCGAGAGTGGTTCCCCCGTACCCTGCATTCTCGCATCTAAGATCCCGAGATTACCTTCCTCGTTGGACGTTTTCGAGCTACGCCACCGGAAACTTTATCTTACGGGATAATACCTGCTTTGCGATCCGCTTTCGTCCGGACGATCTACTGTTTTTTTTTTTTTTTTTTTTTTTTTTTTTTTAACCTTTTCGGGTCAGATTTACGTGAAACTTATACTCGACCAGATGGTATCAACCACGAAAAGTACAAGATTTGTGTCGTGTGACTGCTCGCGTCAAATTCATCACACGCGTTTCTCCCTCTCATCCTCTTTATCGAGCGATTCTCGAAAGATAGATCTCGATCGTGTTCATCGTCGTAATCGTCCTTTAAGAAAAAAAAAAAAAAAAAAAAAAAAAAAGAAAAAGAAAATTTATCTCCTCGTTGATATTTATTATATTTATTATTTCGAAAAATTATTCTAATTTTTTATACGAGATTGGCGAAAAGGAAGGGTGAAGGAACACGGCCGGTTCGTGTTCGCGTGAAGAGAGAAAAAAGCCGAAAAGGGATTGTGCTTCAATTAAGATCTCTCAATTAGCGTATCTTATCTGAGAGTTGGTTATCTGGCGGGCCGGGTTTGGAGGACAGGTTCCCGCGCGTTTCTCTTGGTGGCGGCTGCAACTAACTGGCGTCAGAGCGGTGCACGTTTCACGATCGAGGGGCCAGCTCGAATCGAGAACGGCCGGTCTATTTTTCGGCGGTTCGGCATCCACCTGCGTGCACACGCGTGCTTTGTGGTCTGCCATCAGTGCCGCCCTCGTTAAATCGAGTACGAGCATCCGGAGAATATTAAGTCAGCGATCATTAGAGGAGATTCCGTCCTGATTCTTCCCACCCCACCGATCGGGGCTACACAACACCATACTATTTCGAAAGAAAGTTTCGTAGGGGAACGGTGCAATTAGGCCTTCCCTCCCTTCCATTTTTTCTTCTTTTCGGATATATCGATCGATCCTCGATAATATTTCGATCGTTGCTCGAGAGAGATAACATTTTTATCCTACTCCAATTACGAAGGAAAAAAAAAAAAAATCGAATTCGAAGTTTTTTAACACGGTATAAATATCCTATTTGACACGTTTTGATTTGAAATCCAAAGTAATCCCTTTGATCGAAATGCCGAGGGGGTCGTTTCTATTCACGAGTCTTTAAAATGTCGTTCTCGCTAGTAGTTTCGTGACACAATGTGTGGGTAGTCACAATACGACCATTTGTCGCTATGTATACCGAATCCGGTATGGTTTGGCTATTCACAGAATTCACCAGAGAAGAATAGAATAAACGTAACCTAGTATCGGATATAAGATCGATATATACTTAAAATAATGAGAACGAAAAATGAATATTGAAGATGAAAATAAAGTAAAAGTAATCTACTATTAATCTATTGATATACTGGAAATATCATAATTGGTTCTCAATTTTTAATTTCAATTTGATAATTCAATTATACAATAATTTCAATTTAATAATTCGATTAGATATAAATTTCTGCAATTATATAATACACGAATTCGTAATAAAATGACAACGAAATTACAAATCTATTTTTCCGTTCTTTTGGGACAAAATGAGCGTTAAATCGCGGATAAAGGACTTGCATCGTTCCAGTAAACAGAACGAACATCTTTGGAAGGTAGGTTTTCCTAAAATTCGTATAACAACGAAAAGTCGGTATCGCCCATTGTGGTTACTTTCACGACAATAAAATTCAGCTTGGTAAATATAGAATGGGAAGCTCTCGCAGCATTCTGCCCTCTTCCTTCGTAATCGTTATGAATTCCGTCATGGGTGAATTTATGTGCGGACTTTCCGGGTGGTCACACGGCGGAACTGCTATTGGAAAAAGTTCAAGGGTATTTCGTGTAGATTTTTCGCGGTATTTCGTTACCCCGCCCCACGACATCCCTTCTAGTTGCATGTAACGGTAGGCCAGGTGTACTTTCACTCCATTTTCACCCTCGAGGTCGTTCGTTATACTCGTGCTATGCTCGAACAAACGAGCGCAACCTTCGATTCTCTTCGAGGTCGACGGAAATGCCTCTTACATCCCCGTTCATTTCGAGTATTCTTCGATATAAATTTCCCAGATTTAATTTCCTGTTAATCGGCCAATTAATCGGTTATATCAACTTTCCTCTTTTTCGATCACATCCATTATATCTCACTTTCTAATTATTGATTTTCGAGTGTTAAAAGTTTATCGCGATTACGAGATTTTTAACCGAGTTCGAATGTTGATTGTTTTAAAAAATTAAAATGTATTGGTGCATTCTATCTTTCCCCGTTGCGTTTAAAAAGAAAATAATATTTTTATATTTATTTTAACAATTATTTTATAAAATAAAGCAATTTTTTAATTTTCACGTTGTAATTAGATGCTTGCGTCTTTTATAAATTAATTTTAGATAAGTGGAATCAATTCTCCAGAACGATACAATTAGAAGTCATTTGAACAAGGTATTTATTGATTTTGCGTGTGGTCGTCAAACGGGTACGAGTAAATCTTCCAGATCGTTGGAATCTTGTTGCTGGGTCGTCTTAATTGGACCAACCGTGAATACACACTCGCACACACACACACACACACGTATAAACTGTTTCGGTGATCCTCCTTATCGGGCCGTTATTCGTAACGGCTGCTACTTCGTAACCGGAAATGTCGTCGATTCTAAATGATTACATCACAAAACGAAGGAGCGGTTAAACGGAGAAATAGAGAATAAGAACAAAGGTGAGAATGAAGAAAAGAAAAGAAAAACAGGGAGGGAGGGGGAAGAACATAATATAATATAATATAATATAATAATTTTAAATGAAATATATCGACGAGAATTATTGACTTTTAAACTTAAAGACTGATTCGTCAAATTCGATAACGCTATCATATATTTTTGTGACGGTTCGTACGTACGTTTAACTCGAAAACTAATGAGTATTTATTATTGGCTAGTATCGATTTTTCTT